AATTAAATAAAATATAAAAAAAATATAAATGTATTTATTTTATTAGATATAAAATCATAATTAAAATATAATTAATAATATATATTTTTTAAAATTATTAATATTTTATATATAAAAAAAAAATGAAAAAAATTTTAGTGGGGGCAAGTGCCCCCACTATGATTAACTTAGATCTGTCCCTGCATGTGGTTGTGTGGTGAAATGTTAGTCCTGTGTATCCTCTTACTTTACTTCAAGTTCTACCTCTTCAAGAACAAGTTGTTGTTGGGGTACATCGTTAATGACTTCAAGGAAAAATACCATGTCATTTCATCCTTTACTGTATAGTGTCAATTTCACAGTAAGTGGTCCACTCCAGTTTAACTAACAATGAAATAAAATCTGCTACCATTATCTTTAGTGATACACTGCATTATCCTTAATGATACACTGTATAGCCTAACTGTTTAGCAATTGAAGTTATCAATTTCCATTGACAATATTACCAAATCCAGTGTTTGAAATGCTTTGTACCTTGGGTCTTTTTCCTTCATTCATAACTGTGAACTATAATCATTGACCGTTTGTGTTTAGCAGTCTGGAACCAGAACGACCCGTTCTGGTTCCAGGTGTTTTAAAAAAAATTTGACATCTACCTATGCATCTACGTGGCATCCACGTGGCCAACAATTAACTTCCTTTAAATAATTTGGACGGAAGTACGACATCGCAACTAATTAATTTATTAGGGACCAAATCGAGACCAAAAATAAAAGTGAGACTAAATTGAAACAAACAATCTCGCAAACAAATCTCGGACTCCCTCAACAGTGTAAGTTTTAAATATGTATTGTCAGTTGGCAGAATTAATATCTTTCGGAATTGATGACAAATTCTTGTTGAGTTTTAAATATGTATTAGTAGAGTATAATTATCGTTAATTAAATATTATTTTAATATAGATAAAAATTTGAAAACACCAAATATTTTTTTCATATAGTCTTAGCCAAATGATATAACATTCTCCTATTTTCTAGCAATTTTTTTTCTACAATGTTGTTGCCTATTATTGACATGAATAATATTATTTAATCTAACTGAATTAGTAAATTTTTTTTGATTAATTAATAATATTTTTAAAATAAGTCATAATTAGTGTACACACCAATTTTTATTATAAATAGGTGAAGGTGCTAGGTGACATGTAATTAAAATTGATAATAGAGAATAGTAATCTTAAGTCTCAAAAGAATATGTTCTGTATTATATATTTTTGGATATTTTAAAAATACATAACAATAAATATTTTGTATAAAATTTCAAGCTTATATATTTGTTTAATGAAAGGTTTACAATCTATAATAAGTTGAAACCCCCGCCATTTTCACTGTTATCTAGCTAGCAACTAAAACATTGTCAAATTTATTTGGTAATTTATTTGAGAGATGACGAAATTGAATGGCATTAAGAATAAGTATAAAAATATGATGATCTGTTCAGGAATCAGAAAATAAGGCCCACCAAGGCGCTTCAAACGATCTAATTCGACTGTATTTGCAGAAATATTATTCAATGTACATTCCCTCCCCATGATGAAAAGGGAATCAAAACAGAGGACAGACCCCTTTAGGATCTACTATACCTTTCGCTGTTGGACACCTGGCAAGGGGACAGTGCTCATCAGTTCCCCACCATTCAATACTTGTTCCCTCCATGTTAAGTGAGAAGTATAGAAGAACCGTCATGAAAGCCAATCCAGCGTCCAAAGCTGCCGCTAGCACATAATTGTAGCGCTGCCACCAATTCTTACGATACTTGAATACATAATAGTTGAAGATTGTGGCAACAATAATCCACGAATTGAAGTTCACTGTGCTGGCTGGTGGCATTGCGGCAGTTGCTCCAAGAAGCACAGGAAGGTGAATTGAGGATATCCACTGTTGATTGGGAAAGGCTTTATGCAATAGCCATACAAATAGTGGTCCCAATACTCCTATTAAGAAGAACCAATTGAGTTGTATGTAATTCCCAAGAGTGCCGAAAATTCGCCTTGGCCCTACCAAGCCCCAGATCACAGATGCATCAAAGAAAACTTTGTCACCCGGGCAGGTCCATGGACTGTCCGAGGGCAGTAGATCTTGGTTGCATATATGCTTTATTGAACCCAGCAACCACCATGCGACACCAACGTCCACGGTTCCTGCTATCAGAGTCCCTACGATCTAATACATATATAATAATATGAAAATTTTGAATTAGACAACTTGTTACATAGCATCATCATTCACACACTCAGATTCTTTGATACTACAACCAATGATAGTACTATAAAGTAAATAAAAAATTACAGTTTAATCTCCCGTTAATTAAAAAGAAATGCCTAACAGTAGTGTATATGTATATATATATATATATATATATAT